AAAAAAAAAAAAAAAAAAAAAAAAAAAAAAAAAAAAAAAGAGCTAACCAGCCCCAGAAGGGAATGGCCGTCCGGGGGCGAGTAGTGCTCCTTGGGAGATCATCAACAGGCTGAAGTTAAAAAAAAAATAAAAAAAATACAGGGAGAAATCTTAAATTATTTCCAATGGGACATTGTCACAAAGATTAGAATAGGCATGAATGAACCCCTACCCCTTGCGTCAAGTTGCTATGCTTTTTAGGAAGGTTGTGTTTTCTTTGTGTTTCGCTGGTTTGGTTCCAGCGTGTAGCCGAAGCTGGGTCGTAAAGACCCCGGTTTCTCTGGGTGGAGTCGTGAGGTCCCCGGCCTCGCCTTTGGACTTTTATGAAATATAAATTCTTCTTTCCTCTAAAAAAAAAAAAAAAAAAAAAAAAAAAAAGGCATGAAGAATCATTGAAGATGAGAATGGCTATATTTGTGGCGAGATATGTCATCCATTTCCAGGGCATTCTCACACTTGGGGACTTTTTGTACTAAGCTCTCGACGCGATTGCAGTCAGATTCATCCGTGTAGCGCCATAATTGCTGTCAGATACATTTACAAAAGTCCTAATGAGTGAATTCATCTCAGAATCATGAGAAAATGGAAGTTTCAAGAACGCTGCAGTTCGGGAAAAAAAAAAAAAAAAAAAAAGAATGCTGCAGTTCTTGATTTAGTTATGTATTCGGAAGTGTGTCGTCCAGGACATCCATTAAAATTGGAACGATGCCAACATGCCTACCTTCTTCCCCCCTTCTTTGCTCAAATACAACGTACGGTCATTATATCTGTATTTGGGGTATCTTTCAGTCTAAATACACAGCTAATAATAATGACCGTCAGTTGTATTCGGGGGAAGAAGGTATAGAAGGTATCTTTCAGTCCAAATACACAGCTATAATGACCGTACATTGTATTCGGGGGAAGAAGGTAACTCTGTTGGTACACCCTTGAATTGTTGATATACAGACCTGAGTTCGAATCCAGACGAAAAAAACAGAACCAGATAAACGAAATGCAATATCTCTTAATTGCCTGGGGGTGGTCAGTCGGACAAATTGATATCTCAAAGCCCCGTCGCCCCTATAAGAAGAAAAAGTTATTTTACGTGTTATTAAACTCACAAGTACCTCCAAGCCTCGTTTTCGCCGTTGCGGATTTAGTATTTACATTTGATCCCGGAAAAAAAATAAAAAAAAATGATCTGCTAGCAGGGAGAAGGGCGGCCTGGGAATCGTAGACCCGGAACTGCATCTCAAAGCCATACAAATTTAAATGGGTAGTGAAAATGTTAACCAACCCCAGCATCCCGTGGGTACCGCCGCTAGCCCTAGAGCGGGTTCGAAATCCTGGCCAAATATAGAACCCCCCCCCCCCCCCCCCCCCCCCCCCCCCCCCCCCCCCCCCCCCCCCCCCCCCCCCCTTAACATGACCAACCTTTTTTTCTGGATTTTCTGTAAGAATTGGGTCAAATACGAGAGGGCCACATGAACGACACGGAGGGCAACTTCTGGAGACAGCTCTTCAAGACTTGGGGAGAAGTCTTCCCAGCCCAGCCCGAGTCCGCCCACCGCAAACACGTGAGGAGATCCTGCGCCGACCATTATTCTGCAACCACTGGCTAAAGGGTGAAAGGGGGAAACCAAGGCCCCTGACATCTCAGGATGGATGCTAAATGGGGCACATGGGTAGAGCACGACGTATGACAGATAAAGCATCTACGGTCAGAAGAGAAGGGCACTTTGGAAAACAGCAAGCGGCTTGAGGGCGGAAGTCAAAGGGAGTCATAGACTGCTGGAGAACCTCAACGACGTCTTAATCTCAGTCCCACAAGAATGGAAAAGTCTCTTAGAAAAGGGACCACAACGGGGAAGCGGGGACTGGTTTACGTTTACGTGGCAGCACGGCAACGAACCGGAAGTAGCCTTTCGGGTCCAGAAGAGAAAGAGACCCCAAAGGGAGTGGCTTGCATCGGAGACGTTTGAGATAGAAAGAAGAGGGGCTGCTACCAGCAAGCTAACTTAACAGCAAGGACACAAGGACGCCAATCGCAATCCGCCTGGAGGCAACCCGTCGAACAAGGGTAGTAGAAATGCAAGACTTCACCATTTACTCCCTTTCCCCCCACACCACTGGAGGACCTGGAGGTAGACCCACCCACCCAGCAGACTGGGCTTGGAACCGGAGAGCCGGCCGGTTCAACCTATCCTGACCTGAAGGGTTTAAACTTTAACGTGCTCCAGTTAGGCAACTCCTCGACTACCTTCTTCCCCCGAATAAAACGTACGGCGATTATAGTTGTATTTGAGGCATCTTTCAGTCTAGATACACAGCTATAATGACCGTACGTTGTATTCGGGGGAAGAAGGTAGGTTACAGTCCGAGGAGAAGGTCGCAACCCAATACCAATGGAAGAGAGACTGATAAAGCGCCGAAAGGACAAAAAATGGAGGTACCCCTGTCCCAACCACCGGGCATACCTTGGTACCTTGGTCCCACACTAGCGGTTACACGCAATCCGACCGGAAAAAGTAAACTGCTGACAACGGCTGATTCTACATGTAGCGCTCCCTGTCAACGCACGGACCCAGAGGACACACACAGCCCTGGCAAATACACTTTGGCTAACAGCGCGGAGAAGCGAGGAGCACAGGGAGCCGAGCAATGAACTATGCATAAGGTCTGTACGGAGGAAGGCGTTACAGAAAACAATGAGCCACTGTCTTGTGAACGTGAAGTGCCACAACGCGCAGCAAATATGGCGAATGGCAAAGGAGTTCTGGGCTGGTGAGGGTCCTCGGAAAGCCCCATTCCCAGAGGACACAGCCCTTTGAGATACTGACAGGGAATGATCCCCCAGCCACATGGACAACCTTTGAGAAAAGGAGAGGAGATTTCCAACTGCTCGGACAATATGGCCTGGCCTGTGGACAATTTGGAAGAGAAGGCATCAACGCACGAGCGAGACAACACCCAATTGTCTGATCCAGAAAGCGAAGGAGATCGTAAAGCACCACTATATGGGCCCCTGGGCCGCGGGCCAGATACCTTAAGTTCTGGAAGCGCGAAACGAAAATGCGACCGCCGATCCAATTTATCAACGGTGGGCGCAGCGTTTGACGTTTCGGCCTCGTTTTCTTGTGGCGACAAGTTTCGGACTGCAAGGCTGGAGCCATGTACTTGTGGTTTAAGAGGCCTGCTGGAAACGGATGCCAGAGCACAATGGAGCAAGATGAAGAGAAAGATCAAGCACAACCCCGCAGATGCCCAGGGCCTCATCAAAAAAAATTACCCCAGCAGTTCTGGGACAAGGGAAGGTGGCAACTATACTCACCCATAGACTGCAATACAAATGGGGTCTCACTTGTCAAACAACCCAAGCGATCAAGGTGGAGATAGTAGTGGTCGGGAACAGGAACGACACATAGGAAGCCCCCAAGGGAGCCAGAAGTGAGGAGGAGAGCGAGGAGGCACGAGGGGCGACATACATCCGTAACATCCGCCAGGGACCAGACGAGGGGTAAACTGGGGTTTAGGGTTTAGAGGTTCTAGCACAAACTTAAAGAGTTATGGGTCCTCTCAGAGACATAACTGTTCTTTTGTCCTGCTCCGCCGGCATTCTTAAGTCCTACCGGCTAGGTTGGTGGAAATGATAAAATAGTCATCGGCTTAATGCGGTCTACAAGGCTGGGTTGGTGGAAACGATAAAATAGTCATCGGCTTAATGCGGTCTACAGGTCTAAGTTGTAGCGATACCTTGTGCTGCCGCATTCTTTTGACCAAAAAACAGGAGGGAGGGTCTGTCAAGCAAGGGGAGGTTTGACTACCGTCTTCACCCGAATAGAATGCCCGGTCATTATAGCTGTATTTGGGGAAACTTCCAGTCCAGATACAGCGATAATTACCGGGCGTTCTATTCGGGTGAAGACGGTAGGAAGGAGAAGGGGATAGTAGGGGGGTAGGGCTTAAGAACCCGCTGTCGGAATTTTGTTGTGTTGTTAGTCCAGTTTCAAGAGATTGTTCAGGAATAGCATACTGGCATTTTGAGGCAGGGGACACTGGACCCATTTTCCAATACGAGCCTAAGCTGGGTAATGGGCCCCACATCCCGGGGTGAGATGTGGAGGGGATTTGTGGCCTCCTTTTGCTCATATAATAAAATCATAATAGTTTTACTCAGAAAAACAAAAAAAAACAAAAAAAGGAGCCGCTAGCGTTTTTCCCTCCTTTTTTGGCTGGTGCGGCTTGCTCCGGTAGCACCGTCCGTCCGTCCGAAGAACCTGCATTGACGCAATTTCGGCTGACGCAATTGCTCCGGTTCCTAAGCTTGACCCGCCTCCGGCAAGATGCTGGTGGGTCAAGAAGTGAGGGGTAGTACGTCAGTCAGGCAAGGTGCATCCCATTGGGCTCAGTGCTAAACACAGGTAACTGTTCGTAAACAGCGCACAAGTGTGAATCGTGATGGAGGCAGAGGATTATATACAGTGCTGTGGTCTACCTTCTTTTTTAAAACAAGAAGACATGAAATGATTCGGCTCGTCCGGATCGAGCCCGTAGTCGCAACAGCAAGCTCACACACGATAAGAGCACACACAGAACTTAATCACAAAACTTGAAATGATATTACACACTATTACCCAGGTTTCTCAAGCTCTGCGGCTATGGACGCCAACGAAAACGACGCACAGGGTGTCCCTCCCTCTCTCCCTCTCTGTACTGTTGCACCACCCACATCTACACACTCAAACGGTTCACATGATCCCTCTCTGAATGCCCTCACCCTCTTCCCTCTCTCTTACTACTGTGCTGGTGGGCATGGCGCCCTGTGCCGTCGACTACTTGCTTGCCACACACTGTTCATCCGACCAAGGTCTTGGTCGCTGCATATCGCCGCAGCGCTCCCGTGTGAGCTGAATGAAGAAGAAGGTCCTGTTCCTGACGTTCGTCTCCCTTTTGTGCCTGTGCCTCTGCCTCCCACGCGATTGCAAAATCTTCCTGCCAGGCCCTGCTGCAGCGGGCAGCGATTCGATCTGTCATGGCCTTTCCCTGGGACTGAGCTGCAATGGGACCGGGAGTGGACAAGTGGCGACTCCCTACCCGCTGATTTCTAGAACCGTCTACTTTTCTTCCCGGTCTTGTCCTATCAGATCTCTATTTTGTCCAGTACTGTACCTGCCGGAAAGTTGCACTTTGGCCCTAAGGTACACAGGCAGTTTGATCGGCGTGTACAGACCATGGGAGCAACTCGTTCTCGGACTAATGCCCATGCGGTGACAAGGGCCAAGAGCGCGGAATAACTAGCACCCCGCACAAACCAACGGAACTCGGGCTTGAAACAGGCCTTCTTTTTGGCTGTTTTTTCTCTGCCTTTTTTTCTGCCTTTTGCCCCACTTTTTTTCACAACCAACGGCTCACTGCATCAAGCGAACGAACGGGAACCGCGGCTTCCATCGGAAGAATGCTATTCCCAGTAGAGCGGCGACTATATTAGAACAAGGCACATGGGACACTATTCATCGGGTCACTGTGCGGCAACTAGGTCTGACAACAGTTGAAGCGCGGTGCATTCCTCTTTACCTTTCCGAGGCTTGGTGCGATTATGTGCGACATGGACTTCTTCGCCGACTGGGACCAGGAGGAGGAGCAGCGGGAAGTGGAAGAAGTGGTAATGCTCCTGGCGTGAACACCCTCCCGGTTTATCCTTCGCAGTCCTGCGCCTAGCCGCACCTCAGCCGAACGCCATGCAGTCCGCCGCATCCTGCCTGCTGAACCTGTTGTGCCTTGCCTATTCCCACCCGCGCCTACGCTGAACGCCATTTTTTCTCTTCTTCTTCCCCTCGCCCTACTTCCAAATCTCGCCATCGCCAGCCTGCTCTACACCGCGTGCGTTTCCGAGAAGGTCTTTCTCTGCACTTCTTCTAAGCGCTTTGCGATTCTGATTGGTAGCACCATCCTCACGAGCTGCTGCTGCTTGTTCTATGTGCTAGGCACTGCTCGCTGGCCTGCTAATTGATCGGATGGCATAGGAGCAGGGAGGAATGGTGATGCAGTCCAGAACGGCGGCAGAGGCATCTTGATGCGCCTTTTTAGTATTCCTAGCCTTTCTCTACTTCCTTTCATTTCTCTACCTCATCTACTCCCTTCCTTTTCCCCTCCACATGAATTATCTTCCCCCCCCCTCCCCCCCCCCCTCCCTCGCATCCCATTCCCAAAACCATCCATCCTCCCCGTTTCGTAACATTCCTCCTCGTACCCCCCCATCTGCCCCCTCGCCTTCCAAAGACCATGGAAGATGCCCCTCCTCTGATGACGCCCCATGCGGCATGGGGCAGAAAAGCGCTTCAGGGACTTGCCACGCCCTTCCTGCAGATTCGGCCAGATGATCCGTGCGGGCATAGGAGCACATCAGGATCTGGAGGATAGAGTTGAAGTAGGACTTCTCTTCCCTTTTCAGCCATCTACCCCCACCCCCTTCCCCTTCCCCCTCCCTGCGCCATCTCATCCTCTCTTCCACTCATGTATGGATCGCACTTGATGGAGACGAAACGGACAGTTCCAGGGCAATATTCTGAGTCGTCATTTTTAAGCTTGGGCATAAAAGCTTTACTTCGGTATTTCTCATGAGTGCTGATTTGCTTGGTCAGTCGTCATAATATCCTCTTTCATAAAATATCGTCCTCTTCATCTACTTATGCTGCCTTGGATGTTAGTACCTGCATGGGCAATCGACCTTCATTATTGAAAGAGAGCATCCACTTTTATTAACTGTTCCTCGATTCTTTCGATAGGACCTAATAAAAGGGCCTGCTCTCCTCCCCTCCTCTCCTCCTCTTCCTCCCCCCTCTGGTGGAAACGTTTTGGCCTCTATGGATGAGAATGGATGCTTTCATGGAATCTACATACACACACACACACATACACACACACACACACGCACAC